TGTTTCGCTCGCTCGAACATCCATTTTTTCTTGTTAACAAGGAAATTACTGTAATGTAAAAGGAGATATTGGGGAAGGGTTTTCAGGAGGCTTCGACAAGTGCTTCTTAATAGCTGCTTTAAAAAAAAAAAAAAATATTAGATTATTAGATTTCAATATAGAATACTGCATCAATATATAATATTGTAACAATACAGCACTTGTATAGGTTGCCGAAGTAGAATATTTTTAATTTTAGTGTTACGTAAACACGCGAGATATAATAATTATTTTATGCGTTCGAGTATCGTTCCATCGTTATAAAATTTGGTGGGCCTGAAAAGAGTCGATTTTTGTGCCAAAGAAATTGATGGTCGATGGTTAATAGTCAGTCAATAGTCAGTCCAATATCCGGCACGGTCGATAACTTGAATCGATTAGGTATCGAATCAATCAAGTTCGCGAGAAAGCCGTGCGTGTACGTGCCTAACGCATTGAGAAAGCCGTTCGTTTGAAATATGACTCAATTGAAATGTAACGAAAATCGAGACCAGACGAACGAAAACAGCGAACGATAACAATGCTATTCTGGGGTCCTTTGTTTCGCACGATAAGACCGTTATGATTTCGAGAGATACAGAATCGGTAAATACAGATAGACACGTGTACTACATGCGCGGTTTGGAGTCAGACAAAAACAAGTTCAAACGCGAGGAATGAAAAGCGTTGTATCGATTAGTTCGGAATGATTTCCACTTCTTCCCACACTGAGAGCCTCTACATTATCCAGCTTCGCCGTGCGAACGGTTGCGTTATTTAAAAACGTCAACCGCGAAATTTCTCTGCAAAAAGAAACATACAACGCTTCCTTTTTTTGCTTTGCTCTCTTTCTCTCTCATGGCGGAAAATGCGAAAAACATTTCTATTCGAGAGCGAATAATATCCACGTAGTAAAATAACCACGATTTTTAATTATTAATTAATGAAAATGGTTGTACAATTAATGCATCAATCTTCTTTAATTATAATTCTTTCATTATAACGAAAATTCTACATGGTCATTTGCAAAATAGACCTTTTTGTTCAGTTTCACTTAATGTACAAGCACACACGATGGCAGACGTCGTTATTACAGCTCAACTACCATATTGAGCCTGTACATTATTATATACAAACCTTAGTTAATCAATACTTGGATAATTATTGCGAATATCGCAAAATAATATAAAGACTTTTGTGTTTGTCTACATTCTCTCCACATCCTCACGAGAAATTATGAAATCGAGCTACACTGAGGGAAAAATTATCTTAAAATCAACAAATATTTTTTTGATGGGTTCCACTAACATATTTACTTAAATATAAATTCTCTTTATTTAAATTAAATAGTGTTTACCTGATTTAAGTAAACAATATTTGGTTTAAATAAAGGGAATTTAGAGTTAAATAAATATGTTAATGGCACCCATTAAAGAAATATTTGTTTATGTCAAGGCAATTTTTCCCTCAGTATGGGACATCTTGTATGTCTTTAATCTATTCATGAACAGCTAGAATAAAAAAAAAAAATTATTTAAGATTTCGCAAAATAAGACTGGCTGCACTCCTTCGATTCTGAATACTGCACACGATTTCACTACATTGACGGGAGTTTTCTATCACGTTTGTAAATTCGTGAAAGAGAAACAACGAGTAGTGAGATACAATGAGCCCTCGTATATTTCCTCACCGAGGCAAGTCACTGTAAGACAGCGAAGTGCGCGAGCGCAATATCGGTACATCTCCTAACGCGCGCCGGACTTTCCGTGTACGGAAAGCTGCTCACGTATACCTCTGCGAATTCGTAGTAACAATATTTTACGTCACCGGTTATTCACGTATGCAGTGCGTATACGCGCGCGCCTTTGTATACTATATCGGTCGTAATACCTTCCGGGTAGATGGACTTTGACTCGCCTACGTGATTTCCTTTATCGCGAATATCGCACGGCTGCGTTACTCACATGCATTATCCGGACAATGCCGCTTAAGGAGATGCTGAAGCTGAAAACTTTACCGACAGAACGCCCACATTTTTCTGCAAAGTTTACGTTGTATTGGTTACACAGAATTACAAATGTTTTTATGCAACGAAAGTACATGCAAAAATAAATAGAAGCATTGCTCGATATGTGACGAAAACGAACAAAATTTTAATGTAATATCTCTCTTTTAATGTAATTGTCAGTTAGAGTAATATTTGTCTAATACAAAAGTTCCGCAACATGTATATATCGAAAGATGCTCCAAACAGAAAAATTTTGCAGAACATGCTCTATCTTCGCACTTGCATTTAAAAGCTTAAAAATATCGAAAAAGTTTGCAAAAAGATTTCCACATATATATGGTTAGGTTTTCCGTTGAATATCGTAAAACAAAGCAATACACATTCATGTAAGTTCTGTTTATATAAGAGATACGAAAAGGATAGCGTGGATATGTTAGTGACGATCGTCTCTGCATTATCGACATTGTTCGAGTTCGTCATCGACATCCACTTAAGGGGATACTGGACACGAAAACTTTACCGACACAACACTAACTTTTTCTGCAAAGTTTACGTCTTGCTACTTGCACAGAATTACAAACGCTTTTGCACAATAAAAATACATGCAAAAATTAATTGGAGCATTGCTCAATATGTGACGAAAACGAAAAAAATATTTCTTAGGTTAAATTTTTAGCTGTCAGTGCAATATTTGTTTAATACAAAAATTCCGCAGGTTGTACGTATCGCAACTGTGGAAAATGCTTCAATAAAAAAAATTTAGCTTAGATGCCAAATAGGATACGAAAAGTTTGCAGAAAAATTTATGACAATATACGGTTAGGTTATTCCGACAAATATGATGAAGTAGAGCAGAAAATTAATTCAGGGATATTTTTCCAGTGGGTGCTGTACTTTTTTCGCATATTTCACAACGTCAGAATATTCAGCGTATATATATTCTTTCGTCAGCGCGCCCATGCAACTGTTTATCGCGATGTCGCGGCAATATACGTATACATGTAGATATGTATCTGAAGTATATATATATGTATGTATGTATGTATGTATCTGAGTATATATGTATCTGAGTAGAATTCCAAGCAAAATTGATATTTCTGCAAAGATTACGTCATACTGATTACATTGAATTAAAAATCCTTTTGGATGGTGAAAGTACGTGCGAAAATGAAAAGGAAAAAAAAAAATGAAAATGAAAGGGTTTTTAATTCGGCATGGGTAGAAAGAAGTGATCTTTACAGAAGTATTCGGTATCATGACAGAGAGTATCTGTTCCATATCGTTTTCATTTCATATTGAGGAATGCTCAGCTTCATTTTCGCACGCACGTTCAGCATACAAAGGGATTTTTGATTTGGTACAATCAGCACGACGAAAGTTTTGCAAAAGGGGTCGGTATCACGTCAAGGTCATTTTCCTACAAATATTACTTTGTATTGACTTGACCGAATTAAAAATGCTTTTGTATGGTGAAAGTACATGCAAAAATGAAATGCAGCATTCCTTATTCAGGGATGAAAACGATGTGGAACTATTATCATCATGACACTGATTTCCTTTTGCAATAATTACAGCGCACTTATTGCTCCAATTTATATAATAAAATTACGTGCGAAAATATAGTGAAACATTGCTCAGTGCGTAACGAAAATAATATCTCAAATTTCCATTGGAAATTATATAGAAAATTACACATTAGATAACATTTTTTTTCAAAACAATATTCGTAAATTATACTTATGCGTACAACACACTTATCGAAAAAACTCTTTCTTTGATTCACCCAGTACACAAGCGGTTTGAAGAATTCATCAGAAAAGTTGCGAAAGCCTATTTCGGAGAGAATGCGAATAACGTGGCATTCACATTTACGTACCGTTTATGTGTAAGAGAATTGAAATGACAACTCACACTTGCACACTCACGTATCTATATCATAGCGGCATCATGTCAGCGCCTATTAGACGATCGTCTTTACTTCATATCTATATATATATCTATGTATACATGAAATCAGTAATCGTCAATAAATGATAACGTTTTCTACTTTTTGACGATCTTCTATATCGTTATCGTTATCGACGCTTAGCGAGTTTGTCGTTCACTCCAACATTCTCTTAAGGATTTTCGTGCGCGCATCTCGGGAACGCTCCCCACGAGTGCCACTGCCGTTCTTTCCGCTCTTTAGTCGCACAATTAGATGCAAATGCAATCTTCTTGGATGGAACCGCGATCGATCGCGTACGATGCGACCTAAAATGTTACTCTTGCCGAATAATCCGCGAGAAAAACAGATGTGTGTGTGTGTGTGTGTGTGTGTGTGTGTATGTGAATGAGACTCTTAAAATATTTTAACGAGCTTGAACAGAAATATTTTGGAGAACATTTTAACCCAACACCAATAGTCGCCAAATATTAATTGTTCAATCTCGCGGTTGCGCCAATTTTTCCGCGTTATTTTATAATACATACATTGCAACACACGCGGAGATAAACGTTATTCCCGAAAGCTTTATAACTTTATCAACACTTCGCAGCTATTGTTGTCGCGATTTTTTTTTTTGGTGGAAACGACCCATCGGCGCGGAGCCGGCGCAAAAATATCGCGTAACGTAATTATTACAAATGTCGCGCGCCAAAGCCGAGCGATTACTGAAATGAAAACGAACGTTGTCGCCGCGCGTGTCCAGTGTTTCTCGCGACTATAATTCTCCGAAATAAAAACGCAGAGCCGGGCGCGATCGGTCCGCGGGAGCCCCGTGACAATTGATTTTAGCAATCGTGTTATAATCGCCAATACAGTTTCGCGAGTGCCAAAAACGCCGGTGATTTTTTTGCCGAGCGTATGCGCGCGCGCGCGCGCGCAATATTTTGTTTCGGCCGGCGATTGCGGTTATTGATCCCGCCCGACACGGTTACGAGTCACTGTTTCCACGTGTAATTGCACATCGTGTCGACATATGTGATTGCTTAGTGGCTTCGCGATATTGCGCTGCGTTAATACGCGTCTCCCACTCTCTTCCCGACGTCGTCACGCATTTCCGCTCCTTGCAGCGAAAGTAGAAAAGCCGGTCGCAAATTAGTCCAGTCACAGTCGCCGATCGACATTTCTGCCGGCGTATCGAGCTTCATTAACTGAGAAAGAAAAGAGACAGCGCATAGACACACATACACGAGTGAAGATATTCTCGCAAACATATTTTTCTCGTCGTTATTTTTTTCGAAAGTGTCATTGCCTGATAATACATTAGCGCGTTCATTAATTCCGTATCTCGTACAAGATTTCTTTATTGAAACTTCTCGCTGTTATTGTAAAACATCACCAAGATACAAACGTGAATGATAACAGCTCGATTGAATACGCGTGGTACAAACGAAACGAGTAACCAGAAGGACATCTACAGTTTCGTCATTTATCGATACGCGCTTATCTATGAGAGAGAGATTATTCGTCTTATTCGAATATTCTATATTATCTATAGAATATATTATCTATACATATATCGTCTGAATCATAATCACGGCAGTGAGTGTGGTGTTGATACGTTCATTTGTACGTTCTTGAACGAGCATTATTGTGAGATATAAGTGTCGCGTACGAGGCGGATCGCGCGAGCAGAGAGATGTCAGGGAACGTAGGAACGTCCGAAGACAAGCAGTGGCTGGATGTTGTGATGCCGAAAATCGCCGAGAGTATCGGCGAGAGAGGCACTACGCGCTACGTGTTGTCCAGCATCAAGCAACGCTTCCTGTCTGACATTTATTTCGTGTACATGTCGTGTACGAACGAGATAAACCAGCTCAGTGAGACGCGAATGGTGATCAAGAGAACCAAGTTGTGCAAGTTAATGGAGGTGAAGAATCAGTTTCACAACGAGATCGTGTTCTATCAGTTGTTCTATCAATCGGGCGAGAATTTTCCGAGATACTTGTACGGCTACGACGCGTCGCTGGACTCCAGCGAATACTCGATAGTCGTCCTCGAGGATGTGAGTAGAAACGGATTCAAGGAGAGTCCGGCCTCGTTCGATGTTCCATACAGCTACGTACTGGCGGTGATGCGCGAGCTGGGACGGTTCCATGCTAAGGGCTATATCCTGAAAGAGACAAATCAGGCCAAGTTCCAAAGTATCACGGACAAGATCACGGAGACCCGGTTCTGCGAGAAGACTAAAATGCGACCGTTCGTCAATATAACGTCGACACGAGTGGTGGATTACCTCCGTGCACAGAATCACGACACGGGTTTCTGCGACAAATTGGAGGCCCTGCTCTCAAACGCGTTCGACAAAGTGATAATACCGATAGTCACAGTAACCGAGTCGTCCGAGCTGTTGTCCACGATTTGTCATGGCGACGTTACGCTGGACAACATGCTCTTCCAGCCCCTAAATAGCGAGTATTTCAACGCGATGTTGATCGACTTCGGGATGATGAGGTACGGCACGCCCGTCGTGGACCTCTCTTCGTTCTTCTGCCTCTGTTGCACGAACAGCATGGTACGGGACAAATTGCACGACATGTTGGCGGTCTATCACATGGCGCTGACAAATTATATGTCGCTAGGAGGGGTGGCAGATACCAAGAAGTACTCGTACAGAGCTATACTAAACAATTACAGAGAAGGCTGTCTCTACGGCTTTGTCCTCGCGTCCTTCTACTTGGAGTGCTTACTGGGACATATCGATCCTGTTGAAATAGCGGGACGACACAATGATATGGAAATGTTAGCAAAAGAGTACAAGAAGAGCGGTGGAGACCAAGTGTCCGCGATGTTAGCCGAAATGCTCCTTCAGATGGTTGAGATGGGCAGTTTGGACCATTTCTTGTAAACACGCGATATTATTGTGACGCAGAATTACGCATCTATTAGTACTTACGAGATGTTCAATGGGAGATTCTCGGGCAAACAAGCAAATACAGTGCGAGAATGATTCGGCAATTTCGCGATCGTGTTCAGAGAGAAATGGCGTTCGACTGTTCCGTGTTGGGTCGCGCGAAAAACGTAATGTAGCACAGGGTCGATTGATCTTATTAGAGCACACAGATGCAAAGTGTTAAATAATTCAGTCCTGTTTTATACGAGCGCGCCAACTTCACGCACCAACTGCGCGCTCAGTTTTTTATTAGGCGGACTGTAAAATGATTTTAAAGCGGCTCGTAAAATCGTCGATTTCGGAAAGAGGAAAAGAAGGGCAGAGAGAGAAAAAGAGGAAACATAAGCATAAAGATAGTGGAAATGAAATAATGTGAATAAGAAGCGAGTTAAAAGCAGAAGGCCGCTTATGCGTGACACTGAAAACGGGTGTAGTATTGCACCGTGAGTTTTGCGGTGCACATTGGCGAAATTATTCCTTCGTCCGTGCAACTCTGTACGGATCTGCCTTTCAAATAAAGAAGCATGCGCGTACTTTATCCGAATAATTTCCATGTTTTTCGAGCTAGAACGGCGGCCGGCGTTTATAGCGAGGTGATAAAAATTGTAGTAAAAATTTGCAAGCGCAAGTTATATTTCGTAATGTAGGATTTTTTGTACTTTATGCACAATAAAATCGCATGAAACGAGTGATAGATGTAGCTTTATCTGTATCACAGACTGATTAGATACTTGATTAGATATGATATACGCGCAGACGCATTATTTCGTAACTCACGATTAAAATCCTAATAATTATAAAATCCACAATAATTGTATAGATACGTCTTGAAGATCTAAATATGTGTAAGATATTAATATAACCAACGAAACTATGTAAATAATAAATCAGTTTGTTCCTCATGTAATCAACAGATAAAGTCAGATAAAACAGATATCAGTCTGCGATGCAGAAACGGCAGAAATTTGTCTCATGTGAGATACTCAGATTTTTAATCATAGTTGGATCCAAGGTTTTTAACTGAATTACACATGTGATATTTAAGGTAAACTCGGATATGATGGCCATACGGAAAAGATGGTCATAGGCTGTAATTTCTCCAATAATTGCTAAAATAGTACGCTCTTGTAGTCATTCTAAAAGATAATCGATCTTTACAGTAGTTTATGTTCGTATGCTCAAGTACTAAAACATCGTATTATTTAACAATTATTAAAAGAAGCAGCTTATAGTTACTTTTTCTGTACTGTCATTAAACCCGAGGAGTTTACTCGATATTTCTAATCGTGTTTCAACTGAAAAGCTATCTTATCTAACTCGGAAATTAAATCAGATCTTACTTGAGATAACATACTAATAACGATTATTAATATAAACGTAAGATTTTATCACAATACTTGGAAGATATTATGTAGATATCGATGACTCAAATTATTATTCAGCTTATGTCACGCTCTGACAATATGTTAATATATCCTCGACTACCGATTACGTCGCGGAAAAAAACTGCCATTATTGCTATATTTACGTATATGGTTAGAGAGAAAACAAGTCTGTGACTTGAAGTTAAATAGACATTGCATTAAAAGTTGCTGTTGTTATATATGCCCATCTATGCAGTTCTCACGGCCACAGTGTTTATAATACGTACATAAATCAGTTGGTACATCTTCATATCTCAGCCAAAGGAATACTGCTGTCTGTTGTGGTCTGCAGAACAAATACTATGTGGTTGAGACCTTTGTAAGGTTTGGTTATATCACACATCACTGAGAATACCGTCCAAACACGTATGGGCAGGCAGCAAAGAAGACCAGTGTACCATTTTCGGAGTACTATGTTTACTACAACCATCTCGTGTGTATGATCAAAGATATATTAATATTTTGTTATGGCAAGCATATCTTTAATATTACTAAGCATATCTGTAATACTAGTAAGTAATATCCTTAATGTTTTCTTCGTGATCATCAATCTATCGATATTCATATGATATTATTCTAGATATCACATAGATATCAGTGTCAATGTATTAGGACCTTAACTTAGTTTCCGCCCAAAAAATACTGAGAAAAAGCATTTATTGTAAAAAATTTATTTAAATTATTTCAATGAAAGTATTTTCCATCACTTTCTACAACTTTTTGCCATCTTTCTGGCAACTGGGCGATACCATCTCGATAAAACGATGTTTGTTTCGAAGCAATCCATTCGTCCAC